TAGGGGGGGGGGGGATTCCGCTGTCACTTATCTCAGGCTTTAGCCACGTTTCTGTAACAATGCCAATGTCAGAATTATTATCTTGAATAAAGCCACTGAGCTCCTCACGTTTGGGAAGGAGGCTACGGATATTAGTTAATGTGACTGTATGGTTCGAAGTCTTCATACGTGGCGTAGTGACGGGCGGCGGTGACCGATCAGAAAGAGGTCCTCGCTGCTATCTAGGAATCTCTGTGACGAAGTCGGTTGTAGAGTCATACTGGAAACACCTGTCAATGACGTACAGTTTGTCAAAGCGAATTTTGAAAAGGGAGTTCAGTGATTTGCCATATTGAAAGAGTTTAGTGCGAACCGTGCGCACTGAAAGCGAAAGGTCCTCACGCACCGCTTACTGAGTTTCCTTTAGTTTTCCTCCAGAGAATAAGACGTTCTGCTTGTCCTTGAAGCGCAAGAATCTTACGATGTTTGGTGGGTTTTTGTTAGCCGATAACTTTCCCAGCCGGTGGGAGCGTTCAAGGTTATCGGGGTTTATCTCGACGCCTAGGTTTTGTGCACAAAGCCGGATTACCTTCTCCGACTGGGTCCATGTTTCAGTCTGCGAGTCCGGAATGCCAAAAAACAGCAGGTTTGACCTCCTCAGTCTACTCTCTGCGTCGTCGCATCGCGAATTTACCTCGTAAAGTTCCGACACAATATTACCTGAGGCCTCATGGTCATGAAAGTCGCGGATGGGAGAGGCCTTCGCTGCGGCAAACTGGGCCTCGAGAGCTGTAACTCTACCGGAAAGCGCACTGACATTTTCTTCGGTGGACTTTTGAGCGCTCTGAACCCGCCCAAGCTCGGCAAGCACATCGATCTGGCTCTTTTCAATCCTGGTGATAATTTCAAGAAGGCTACCTAACTGCTCCTCCACAGTTGGGCCTGGGCTTGTCTCGATGTCACCCGACATTTGCAGTAGTAAAAGGGACAAATAACGAACATGAATGCACTTGACAAGGAACGCGAGGACCTGATTACGACAGTCAGAGAGGTCATGGGGCCACGACATCGCCATCAAACACAAATCGTTATTACAATAACAGGCGGCATTAGAAAGGGGACCAACCTGAACAAAGGATAGGGTTTGGATCGTTTCTCGAGCAATGTCGTGCCCCAACTGGCCGAGAGAGAGAGGGAGGTCTTGCAAAAGAGGAAAAACCATCGTTGGAGTTACAGCCATGGGCCGAACGGTCATCGTTGGATTCGGGGAGGGGAAGGGGATAACAGCTGATAGAAGAGAAAATTGTGAAAAGAGAGGACCCAACTGGCCGTCCCGCGTGGTCGGCTTTTGTAGTTGTCTGCGGAGGCAGGGGTCACGTGATGTCCCCGAGCTTGCGTGTTGCCAGGCGTCGAAGATGTACGCGTCCGGATCGGGCGGTGTGGGCCGCGTGGTCGGTGAAAGCATTGGAGGGCCTGTCGCGACACGCCCCGTGGCGATCCGAGAGTCATCCCGTGTCAGCGGGTCGTGCGGAAGATTTCAGGGTGAGGTTGGCGAAGTCGTAGCAAGGGCAGCGGTCAGCAACACCTGAACAAAGAATAGGGTTTGCATCGTTTCCCGAGCGATGTCGTGCCCCAACTGGCCGTCCCGCGTGGTCGGCTTTTGTAGTCCTCTGCGGAGGCAGGGTTCACGTGATGTCCCCGAATTCGCGCTTGGAAGAGTAGCGGCACCGCGTAGGCTCCCCGTATCAAAAGGCCCGCGGTGTCGCAAATTTTTACAGCATGCACAGAATACACGCTCCAAAATCCGTAGCGATTTTTATCATTACTATAATACTGCAGTCAGCTTAAGAATGCTAGCTTAGCGTCAACCACATCAACGTTTCCCCGATTTGAAGGAAAATAGTGTATTGCTTTCTAGGCCGCCAAGTTGTTTTTAGCGCCCGTACGCCAAACCCTCCGAAAGCTCGCCAAGGACACGTATTAAAATGCAGTCAATCATTATTTTTATTATTTATTATTTAAGAATACTGTCAGCCTTCACTTGAAGGCTATTACAGGAGAGGTAACAACAATATATATAGTCATATCAAAAATTTGAACTCTATACATATGTACGTAATAGAAGACTGTTATACAATTTTTAATTGAAGACAACGTGAACCATATCGCCACACTTTGTAAAAAGAAGTGAAATAGAAAAAAAGGAAAAACGCCCTTCTTATTTATTGCTGGGTAAATATCTTTTCTAAAGAAGACTCGAATTGGGACATTTGCAGAATTAATGACATAATCTGGAAGTTGGTTCCAGTCTTCAATTGTTTGCACAAAGAATGAATATTTAAAAACGTCTATCCTACTATTATACGGTTGGATTGTTTTATTGTGATTTAATCTGCGCGATCGTTTATGTGTTTCATTTAAATATAGTTCAGGTTCAATGTTTAAGTGATTGTTATACAACGCAAATAAGAACTTTAGCCGCGCTATTCTCCGTCTAGTTTCTAATGATTGAAGTCCACACTGGCTAAGCATTTCAGTCACAGAGTCTGTTCGTTTGTATTTATTAAGAATGAAACGTGCAGCCTGCCTTTGAATTTTTTCTAGTCTATTGATGTCTACTTTTTTGTTTGGACTCCATACAATGCTGGCGTACTCTAAAATAGGACGGATCATTGTCTTATAAGCTGTGATTTTGGCATTACCAGTTGCATGTTTTAACTTTCGTTTAAGAAAGCACAAACTTCGATAGGCAGAGGAGTAGACATTATCTATATGGGTGCGCCATTGCAAATCGTGTGAGATCACCACACCAAGGTACTTAAAACTGTTTACAACACTCAAATTAACATTGCCTATATTATAACAAAATTTCAAAACGCTTTTTTTGTTCGTTATATGGATATATGTCGACTTACGAAAATTTATTTGCATTTGCCAGTCCTCACACCATTGCCTTAGATTTTCCAGGTACCTATTAAGAGCTAATTGATCATTAGTATTGTTTATGACAGAGTAAAGAAGGCAATCATCTGCAAAAAGTTTTAGTTTTACTGGTTCTGCAATATGCGTAGCTATATCATTTATATATATCAAAAACAATAATGGACCTAAGACTGAGCCTTGCGGGACTCCTGAGGTTACAGATAGAGGTGGTGATATGTTTCCATTTATCTCAACTTTTTGACTCCGATTTGACAGGTATGCTTCTATCCAGTTAACGATTTTATCACACAACCCTATCTTTTTTAATTTGAATAATAATTTTTTGTGAGATATGCGGTCGAATGCTTTTGAAAAGTCTATACAAATTACATCGATCTGTTCCTTATTATTTACAGATAAAGAAAAATCATGAAACGTTTCAACAAGCTGCGTTACGGTTGACAAACCATTTCGAAAGCCATGCTGATGAGAGTATAACGTCTTTCGCTCCTCTAAAAAAGTAAATATATATTTTGAAATGACGTGCTCCATCACTTTACAGCAAACGCTGGTCAATGAAATAGGCCGGTAGTTTTCTATCGTAAAGCGGCTTCCTCCTTTAAACACAGGGACGACACGTGCGGATAGCCAATCTTGCGGGAGTGACTCCGTTTGTAATGATTTGTCGAAGATAATTTTTAAATAAAAAGATAGCCACTCTGCATATCGCTTTAAGAATTCATTCGGTATTTTATCCGGGCCTGTTGATTTTTTTGTATCCAGTGACAATAGCTTAGCAAATATTCCGGACTGGCTTATCTCTATTTCTGGCGTACTCGTTTCAATATCAGAATGAAAGGCCTCATCGAGATTTTGTACGTCGTGGGCTGAAAAGACTGATTGGAAAAACACGTTAAACCGATCTGCCATTTCTGCACTGTCAGTAATGACCACATCGTTTTCAACAATCTGCTCGATCATTTCCCTCTTTCCTCTTAAGAAACGCCAGAATTTCTGAGGGGCAGTTTTTATAAAGTTGTGAAGAGTCACTGAAAAGAATTTCTCTTTGGCTTGTTTGAGTGATGTTTTTAATTTAATTTTTAGAGCATTTATATGTTCTTTAAATCCTTTTCTGTGCCTTTTGATTTGACGTTTTAGGTGGATAATTTCACGCGTTATCCAGGGATTTGTGCGATATGTCTTTTTAGTTTTATTGGGAACAAAGGAATTAATGCAAAAGGAAGTAGTAGTTTTAAAAAATTCCACAGATCATCTACTGTACTTGTAATGCTTAGTTGGTCTAATGTTTCTAAGGATGTCTCTAAGTAATCTATAATACTTGTATCGTCTGCGCGAGTAAAGTCTTTAACAATTAGGGGCCTAGCAACCCTGCAATGACCCTGTCGTGGTAGTGGAATCGTAAACAAAATCATTTTATGGTCTGAAATTCCTTCTACAATTGAAATCTCGTAATCCGATATGTTTTCTGTAATAAAGACAAGGTCTAATGTTGACTGAGACTGGTCGGTGATTCTAGTGTATTCCTTGACTATTTGGGTAAGGTTGTGATTAAACGTTATGTCAATTATTTTTTCTCCGTTAAGGATATCAATGCCACCAGCTGTCAAAAGACCCCAATTTACATGGGGCAAATTAAAATCTCCAGTCATGATTACCTTGGTAGTATCATTTACATATTTGCACAAAAACTCATTCAAGCCCTCCAAAAATTCTACTGGTGCGTTTGGCGTTCTATAAACCACTCCGAAAAGGAACGTTCGACTGTAATAAGAAATTCGGCACCAAACAGTTTCATCACAGTCGCATTCAAGCACCACACAATCAATGTCATTTCTCAAACAAATAGCCACACCCCCGCCTCTGGTAGTTCTATCACACCTAACTAATTTATAATTGGGGGGAACAATGCAATCGCTTTCTATATTGGAGTTTAGCCATGTTTCTGTAATAGCTACCACATGGGGACTGTGGGCAAGAAACAAAATTTCTAGAGCTTCAATTTTATTAACCACACTTCGGGCGTTTAGGCTAATAACTCTCAATTCAGGTGGATCGTTTTCAGCCGCCCTTGCATCGCGTCAGTTGTAGGCTGCCCCACTGGGTTGAACACGACGTCGCTGGTTTAGATTAAGATCCCACACAAATGTTTCACCATTAATCTTCAGCTTGTCATGTACAAGTGATACCTTATCGCCCTTTGCTCTGTTCGATGCCGCGCTTCCCCATAATAGTTTTCTTACTTGCACTGTTTCTTTTGCGTAGTCACTACTGATACTGAGCTTAGTTCCTTTTAGTTTTCTACAGTTTTTAAATATTTCCTCTATCTCGTTGTAGTCGAAGAACTTTATGATTACCGGTCTATTCGTTTCCTCGCGCTTACGTCCAAGTCTGTGAATTCGCTCAATCGAAGTTACTGTGATGCCGAGAGTCTCCAGGAAGACATCTTTCGTTACGGTTCGCTTCAGTTCCTCAGTGCTTTCGTTGTGTTTTTCGGGTAAGCCAAATATAAGTAGATTATTTCGCCTTCCTCTATTTTCTAGATCAATTAGCTTTTCACTTTGCTGTCTGACTGTCTGTTCTAGGTTTGCAACGACTTCCTTTAGACTATCAACTTTCACCATTTCGCTCTGAATATTTGACATTGCATTTTCCAGTTTATTAATTTTTCCGTGAATATTATGCATTTCTTGCCTAAGATTTGCTTGACCACTTTTAACTTCTTGAAGATCCTTACTCATCTGGCCCTGATTTTCCAAAATCTTTTCTAAATTCTGTTCTATTGTTAATGGTCCTGGGTTCGATTCAACGTCCCCAGAAAGAAGCAACAACATTAACCGACGCCAGCAATCACACAAAATGGCAAAACACTTTTGAGGGCACGGCACTATCACCACAAATTTGTAGCTATTTTTATAACTGTGCTGCTTGTATTGTAAACCAACCTGCAGAAGTAGTTGCGGAAATTTAGCCATGCTGGCCGTCGGGTGAGTGCCGAGCCCTCTGATGTTGGCCGGGTCTGGTCCTTGCTTTTGTAGTGGCGTGGTGGATGACGTTTCGCGCCCACGATGAAAATCCAGCCAATGGGGGCGGATGATGACTTGTTGTTGTCCGATGCTGTCCTCGGGTACCGTGAATGGCGTGTTGGATGGCGTTTCCAATAGTATCGGCATCACCTGCAGAAGTACAGGGTGTCACAAAAGAAAATTTACACGGTCTTTTTTACTGCAAAAATAAACTATGCATCGCCGAACGCTCATTCTCCGTCCAAAGGTAGAGTTAGAGGTCACAACCAGATGCCAAAGTTTCAACCCGATCCGATAACTTAATCAAAAGTTATAAGTGATTTTCTGAAAAGTTCAATGGGAAAATGGAGCCCATTTTTGCCCGTTTTCGGTTTCTGGTGCAATAGAGCCCCATGTGTTTGAAAACTCCGTCGGCCGCCATTTTCCCATTGAAATTTTCAGAAAACCACTTATAACTTTTGATTAAGTTATCGGATCGGGCTGAAACTTTGGCATCTGGTTGTGACCTCTAGCTCTACCTTTGGGCGGAGAATGAGCGTTCGGCGATGCCTAGTTTAGTTTTGCGGTAAAAAAGACCGTGTAAATTTTCTTTTGTGACACCCTGTAGTTGCGGAAATTTAGCCATGCTGGCCGTCGGGTGAGTGCCGAGCCCTCTGATGTTGGCCGGGTCTGGTCCTTGCTTTTGTAGTGGCGTGGTGGATGACGTTTCGCGCCCACGATGAAAATCCAGCCAATGGGGGCGGATGATGACTTGTTGTTGTCCGATGCTGTCCTCGGGTACCGTGAATGGCGTGTTGGATGGCGTTTCCAATAGTATCGGCATCACCTGCAGAAGTAGTTGCGGAAATTTAGCCATGCTGGCCGTCGGGTGAGTGCCGAGCCCTCTTTTGAGGGCTCGGCACTCACTTGAAATCATGGAGAATAAAATTGCAATTTGGCGGTTATGATGATTAAAAGCGACTTGCAATTCCTGTGGAGCCGAACACTCACGAGGCACTGACCTAATGCAACTCGGTAGGGACGATTATCTAAAACACTTTCGGGATCCACGGTTGGACGAACACATCTCGAGCGGGTTCAAGACGGTCGGATGCGAATGCGGGCTCTAAATGAGGTTATTGCCACATTTATATGACGAGAGAAGTCCACACGATCGGCAACTCGCCCACTCCAGCTGTAAGTCGAACACTCACGAGACACCGACCTAATGCAACTGGGTAGGGACGATTATCCAAAGCACTTTCGGGATCCGCGGTTGGTCGAACAGATCTAGAGTGGCTTCAGGATGGTCGGAGACGAATGCGAGCTCTAAATGAGGTCATTGCCATATTTATATCACGAAAAAGTCCACAAGATCGGCAACTCGCTCACTCCAGCTGACCGAAACGTCGAGACGCTCGGGAAATTCCAGAGGGCGCCTCCGTCGCAAACTGGAAGTTAGAGGTGGGCTAAGGAGGGCTTTTTGGAGGAGGAGGGAAGAGAACCCGCCACTTTTCCCAGATACAGGAACTTTACTTCGAGGCAGAGCCGTATACCTGGAGAGTTTCGCCAGTCTATGATCTTGCCGCCGTAACGCCTGCCTTCCAATGAGCCAATCTGCCCGGGGCGCAGAGCGAGAGGCGTGAGCGCATGCGCGTGAGCACCCGGCTGCTCCCAGCTGCCTGGGGGGGGTTGCCATTTTCAATCATTCGCCCAGTTGAATGCCTGGTATCCACATCCAAATTTTGGATGTTTTCTTTTATTTGGCAGGCTCTGGCAAGAAATTAATAGAGTGTGATTCCTCAGTGGCTTAAAAAGCTAACGAATGAAGTTTCTCCACGTTTTAACGGAAACTTTTATTCAGACGAGAAAGAGATAAGCCCGTAGCAGACGACGCGTAGCCTCAACAGTGCTCTGCGCCGTCGGTGTGTTGCGTCAAAATGACAGTCGTCGACCCTTTGCTCCCTTCTTGCTCTCTCACTCCTTCGGCGCTCTCCTCCCGTTTCTTCACATTCCTCCCCTCCAGTGCTTTCGACGCCGCACCCAGTGGACAGACTCTACCACGATATGGCTCTGCGTCGAGGAACTACGGGACGACGTCGAAATCGCCGCGATCTCCGACGAGCCCTCGCCATGTCAGCCGTAGAGTACACCGCCGCCGCAGCTCAACGTTAAACCCAAGCTCAGTGCTACGGAGCGACGACAGCTCAGAGACCTCCTCGCCGAATTCGGCGACTGCTTTGCGACAACGTCGATAGTGCGCCAAACAACAGTTTTGAAATATCTAATCGTTACCAACTACAATGTGCTCCCTGTGCATCGGCGGCCGTACCCAGTGGACAGGCTCTACCAATATATGGCTCTGCGTCGATGAACTACGGGACGACGCCGAAATCGCCGCGATCTCCGACGAGCCCTCGCCATGCCAGCCGTAGAGTACACCGCCGCCGCAGCTCAACGTTAAACCCAAGCTCAGTGCTACGGAGCGACGACAGCTCAGAAGTCAACTTTCCGAGGGAGGGTAACGGGGACCGGTCAGGATGGTGACGACCGATGATGATATTCACCCAATGCAAGTCCCCCGGAAAGTCGAATAGGGAAAAAAACTAAAAGTTGTTCGATCCCGCTGGACACATTACGACGTTGGTAGGTTTATAATGGCCAGTGTGGCCACGTTTATTTTAAAACAAAACGACAACAAATCAACAGTAATTTACATGACAAAACTCCCACAATTAGAGCCCATACTTTAATCCCCCACTCTCAAGAGCCGAATCTGCCTGATCTCAAAAGCCGAATCCCCGAGAATCGTCTCGGCAGCCCTTTTCTAGACTCGTAGGGGCCTCCTTTCCCTCCAGAGACGGACCAATCACTTCAAATTTGCCCATTGTCACGTGGTACACTCTTACCCAATGATCAGCGAGCTGTCAACGTGACCCCCCTCCGACACCTCAACGGCCAAACCCAAATTCTTTGTAGAGTCACCATATGCTTTTTTTACCGTCTGGCTGGCGCCACCAAGTTAAGTTATTGCGTTGACTAAAAGCGAAGTTTCTACACTAAGCGGCGAAATACGCCAGACACAAGCACACCCGCTTAAAAGCCACAAGTGCGGACAGAAGCCCAAGACAGGGGTGTTCCGGCGCCCCAAGCTGAAATCTAATCCGTTTGTTAACGACAGGGGCCCGACTCTTCTCCTCCGAGCCCCGCGGCTGCCCGAAGCCCCCCGCACTTGAGAGAACAAGACGACTCCCCGCTCACGCTCTCACGCCCTGCCGCGGGTCTGCGAGCAAACGCCCAAAAATGTGGACACAAACATAGACAGATAAAAAAACTATGCCGACGCATCTGTTGAAAAATAGACTTTTCTAAAACAAAGATTAGTTATTTCTAACAAAATCCTTTGTTACTGAACACCTCCCCACCAAGAATGTTGCAAGTACACTTGCTGTTCGCGCAACATCTGTCCCCCTTTCCGAGACAGACGTGTAGCATACAAAAACAAAAACAACCACAAAGGAGCTATACCCCTCGCAAAAAGACCTGTTGGGCGACAGAGAAAAAAAAAAAAAAAAAAAGCCCGGTGAGACCCAAACCCGCACGTTCCAGATTCCACCATGACCAGTATTTATACCAAAGTAGAAAAAAATTACTGTGGCTGCACGAGAGCAAATCCAAAAAGCCAGCAGAAAAAAAAATTGCTTTACCTAATTTATACTTGAATCTGTCTCTCCAGACCTGCGCGTTCCAAAGAGCTCGCACACTCTGCCGCAGGTCCACGAGCCAACGCTCTCTCTGGTCATGGTGAACCTCGGAGAAAACGGGAAAGGGACTCGCCCACTGTTGTCTGGCGACATCCAATTGGCTGCTCCTCCAGTCGCCGCCACCCACTTGCCGCAGCGTCCCCACTCGGCCTGGCGATCGTGCCCGTCGTCTGGAAGCCTCGGTTCATCCGTTCACCGAAAAGAAGAAAAAAAAAACATCACACACACACACAAAAAAAAAACGCACAATTTTCCGGCACCACAACGAAGATCAGCACTGCAGCGACGATCTCGTCTCTCCTCTTCAGGCTTGCCCCAATATTCTGTTGCCGCTCGCTGAAGATGCTTCGCCGGTCCGCAGGTGAAGCCACAGGTCGTCCTGTTCTCCGACGTAGATGACGCCCAGAACCGCCTGCCAGCTGCCACCGCTCCTTTTGGGTAACTGTACACCCCCCCCCCCCCCCCCCGGGCTTCTCGCGTAGATATTGCCACGGTCCTCACTCCGGCAGAAGCGAGCCTTGTCCGCAGTCTAGCAGACGCCACGACTCTTTTGGGTAACTGTACCCCCCCCCCCCCCCGGGCTTCTCACGTAGATATTGCCACGGTCCTCACTCCGGCAGGAGCGAGCCTTGTCCGTAGTCCAGCAGACGCCACGACTCTCAGCCCCTCACTCTTCCTCATCCCCACAGTCACACTCACCTTCAGCCCTTCACTCACCGTCACTGAACCCCACGGCCCTCACGCACTGATGGCTCTCACGCCCCTCACCGCCCTCACGGCCCTCACGCACTCATACCCCTCACATCCCTCACGCACTCATCGCCCTCACTCCAATCACCGCCCTCACGCCTCTCACTCACTCAGGGCGCTCACACCCCTCACGCATCACCGCCCTCACGGCCCTCACGCACTCGTACCCTCACGCCCCTCACGCACACACCGCCCTCACGGCCCTCACGCACTCATACCCCCCACGCCGCTCACGCA